CCCATACAAAAATGTTTATTTGTAAAGACAAAATTAATAAAAAGGGGTAGAAAAATTAAAAATAAAATTGACCTAAAACCTTTATAGCTACCCTTCAAATATTGTGCCACTTATTCAGCTTGGAGGCAATGTGGTGCTTGTGGAGACAGTGTTCCTGGGTTTTTCAATCTCCCTCTTTTAACTCTTTTATGGGCCAATTCTCAGACGTTAGGGCTAAAACACATATTCTGCCTGATAATCAGACTTTTTACGTCCGCTACTCGTCTACCATAGATGCTACATGAGCATCTGGCATTGTAGTTCTCATGCATGCATGAATCCTTGTATGTGAAATGGAATACTGCTGGTGCTTATTTAGAATGAGCAATAATTTTACAGAAAATGGTGTCCCCAAATGAAAGTTAAAAAAAGTCAACTACGGATACATGCACACAAGTGATTTGCTAGAGAAATCACAGCCCATGATTGTCTCAGAGATAATTGCTAGTGATTGAGGATCATTCTCGACACATAGGGATCAAAGGATTGTAGCATGTAGTAGTGATCAACTGCTAAGGATAGCACAATGCTCAAAATTTGTAAGACTGTTGCTACTACATGCAACTGCATGTGTAGCGATCACTAGCAATTCATTGTGGGTGATTACAGTAGCAAAATTTGCCATATGTGTGCCTTATTTCTAAAAGTCATTCTGCATTTGGCCTAGTTATAACTTTAGCCATCTAGATACAAACAATAGCCCCGTGTGTGTATATACTGATTTCCCCTCTACACTGAGCATGGCACCTGCTGAGAAATTATGGATCAGGCCACAGACTCACTAGTCATACTGCCTAACAATAGTTTGTTTATGTCATATATTGAAGCACTAGCAATACTATCGAAACTATAATGAGAGTGTTAAAGTTTTCATACAGAGTAAATATTTACACTCACTGCTATTCCTGAGGTTTACCTTAGTACTGAATTGGTTATAAACTTACTTACACCAAGTGCATACAATTTAATTTCACATTAACATTGCCCAACAAGTACATACAGTGGAGGCAGACATTTATTCAGTCAATGTAAATGTTCTTTAGAATGAAATCTACCAGCACAATCAACATGTACAGTTTATGTCAAACAGTATGACATCCCTCCCAGATCCACTTTGTGGTGATGATACAAATGTAGTTTTGCTTGAATGACCAAAACAATAAATATTGCTAATTTTGTATTGCTTGATGTTTGGATATTTTAATGCTCAACTGCAGGGAATCGTGAAATTCTAGAATCATTCCAATGATTCATTAATTGTATGATTCTCTATATTTGGACAAATCTGCATGAATTTATTTAGGTATTTCAGGTCAATTCCCTCATCACAACCTGTATTGTTTTCAGTCTCTAAGGTTACCCATACACATGACATGATGGTCATCTAATCTGTCTGTTGATGAGGTACGGTGAAAAAAACTCTACACCGATTTCCCCCTACTAGTATAAACCCAACACTGATACTCCTCACTGGTATAAACCCAACACTGATACTCCTCACTGGTATAAACCCAATACCGCTTTCCCTCATTAGTATAAACCCAACACTGATACTCCTCACTAGTATAAACTCAACACTGCTTCCCCCCACTAATATAAACCCAACACTGATACTCCTCACTGGTATAAACCCAACACTGATACTCCTCACTGGTATAAACCCAACACTGATACTCCTCACTAGTATAAACCCAACACCGCTTTCCCTCACTAGTATAAACCAAACACTGATACTCGTCACTGGTATAAACCTAATACCGCTTTCCCCACTGGTATAAACCCAACACTGATACTCCTCACTAGTATAAACCCAAAACCGCTTCCCCCCACTAATATAAACCCAACACTGATACTCCTCACTGGTCTAATAAGCCTCAATGGTATAAACCCCATACCGATACACCCCTCCCCCATTGACACTACTTGTAAGCTCCACTACTTGTAAATAATTAGTTAGCTACATGGATAGTATACTCTGATACATGGATTACATACTTTTATACAAAAGAAATGGAATGGTTTGGTTCAATTGCACAGTCAAAGTGGACTATAAGGACACCAATGAAATCCAACTGCATAAAAAAATAGAAGATGCTTTACTTTCTAAGCAGCTAAATGACTGCAGTGAGTGCCAGTGCTATTTACTATGCCCAACTCTCCCTTGTATTGTATAAAGATTGGTTGTGCTTCTACTTGAATACCATTATAATCACACCAAGTTCAGCACAGTGTAAATTAGAAGTCCTAGTGTGCTCTCTGTGTCCCGGCTGACACCAAGAAAGGGAGACTGCCTGATAAGGCCACAGAATCAGTACAAACATTTTTACTTCCCTGGCCATAATTATGGAGCAGTATCGTCTAACTGTTCTTTATGGTGTTGCTATCGATGAGTCAGCAAGGCCTCTCCCTCTCTGTGTCCATTGCACATGCGGATGGAATTTCTGCAGCTGATAAAGTGAAACTCCAAACAAATTTTGTAGAGAGTGGGAAAGAGATAGAAACTCTTCCAGGTTTTTACTGCTGCTGTTATCTTTTGGCCAGGCGGCAGTGAGCATCGGGACAGGAAGTGAGGGAAAATCTTTACAGTTGGCACACAGACAGCAGTAAAAACCCAACAGACATGCTGCCAAGCCTCCCGCCCTATTAATTATATGTCAAGATAATTGGAATGGGATATTCATTAAGTTCATTAAAATAGAGCTTAAACTAAGACTTATTGTCAGTTTTGGACTGGGGAAAGTGTTAGTACCGCTATCAGATTCTTGTTGTCTGGGCCCTGTTGTGGAGGTTCTCCTTCACCTTTTTTTAGAACATATCTACCATGGACACATAGCCATATAAGAAACTATTCCCAATCTATTTATAAAAACATAATAAAGTTGTGGCTGGAGATTCACTTTTTTTAGTGAGCCTCTCAGTTCCTTAGTAGATGACACAATGCAATAATGAATTCAGTGTGAGTGTGGACATTTGAAGAGATTTCTGTCTGGTCTCAAACCATCATCAGGAGCCGTAGGAAGTTTTCTCCTGCAGAGTTGTGATTTAAATAATCACACCAAAATCAGTGATTTACTACCATTATTACTTCAGCATAATATCTACCTCAGCATAATATAACTTCGGCATAATATGGGATTGAGCGATCTTACATCACATAGTCATTTATGCCTTGAAAAGCACATGAACTCTACTGAAGGCAAATGACTAATCAGCAGTATTGCAGTGAATCTTTCTGCAGCTCATTTTTGCCCCATCACTGATTTACCATGCCTTGTTCTACACTGTGTCTCTGTGTAGAAGTGGCCATTTTGGTAGAGGCAGGGCTTTGCTTTCTCATATCAGAGCCTCCTGCAAAGTGAACCGTGAGCGGCACAGTAGTGACATCACCAAATCTTCTGTTTATATCTAGTTACCCTGAGTCCGGCCAAGTCTGGAAAAAGAAACGGATCAGAGTTCCGTTTCAGCAGACTTGATTGTGCTGGATCAGGGTAATCTGATGTAAACAGACACAAGTGGTTTACATCCGACTCCCCATTGGCCAACATGGTCATTTCAGTTTTTCCTCCGTCACAATGGTGACATCTACCGTATTTTTCCGTCTATAAGACGCCCCCATGTATAGGACACCCCCGACTTTTCTTACCCAAAATTCAGAAATCAATATTTTCCATGCTCTTTTGCATAACTGATTACATCCAGTTTAAATTTTGCAGAGTAAGACAGCCGCTTACTGTTACCGGTATTTACCGGTATTTTTTTGTTTTCTGACATTTTTATGGGCTGCCTGTTGCATCTGGGCACTGGCTACACGCTCTCCACAGCATCAGCTGACATCAGGTACATAAGGCTCATGATTGGAGGAAACCTGTTAGCAATCGGAAGTTTCACTCGTGAGGCTAGTTTGCAGAGGTATCGGCAGTTTCGCAACCGCGGTACTCCTCTCGGCCCCCCGTGTATAAGACGCCCCTCCATTTTTAGGTAAATATTTTTAAGAAAAAGTATATTCTTATACACGGAAAAATACTGTATTCTGATCAGCAGGGAATCTGCGCATCGGATCATGTGAAAGGGGCTTAACAGTAAATATGGTTTTCATTCCAGAAACTCCATTCATTCCGAAATCAAATGTTATAATCAAACTAAATTTTGAAGGACATTGTACAAGTTACATAGTATTTGAGGTTGAATAAATACATAAGTCCATCAAGTCCAACCTATTGTGTGTGTGCAAGTCTATCTAAGCATTATTGAATGTTGTGTGAACGTTCATACAAGTGTCCCTGGATGTTTCAAAATAGATTGTGTATTTAAAGTAGAGTTGTTGTTATCATTATTATTCAGGATTTATATAGCGCCAACAGTGTGCGTAGCACTTTACAATATAAAGGGAGGCAGTACAGTTAGAAAACAATTCAAGACAAGATGATTTGGAAGACCGAACTTTTAAATCCTTTAAATCACTTTGCAAAAAATACCAGTAGCTGATTTCTGATGTTGACAGCCATAAAGAGTGAATTATAATACGACATGCCTCAAGTTGATGACTAAATTGCAGAGTGTAATTCCAGACTTTTCACCTTTCTTGCAAATGTCATACTGTAATGCTTAGGCAATCTATCACTTGCCTTGTTCATTTTTTGCTTCTGTATGCTTTTTTACCTGGATCCATAGAATCCAGGAACACATAGTTGGAGCCTTCCAGCCAAACTATGGAAACTGTAGACCATGAGTAGGCAGCCTCAGCTGAGGTGAAACTACAAATGCCATGCGGCATTGCAAAACTCTTGGCAGCCACATACATGTAATTTCACAACAGCAAGAGTGCTGAGGTTGCCTACCCCTGCCATAGATGCATGAAATGTTGTGTGGACGTTTCATAGATAACTATAGAAAGAACTCAATAGCTACAGTATCTTATTGATTAATTACAAGTATTTATATAGCGCTGACAATGGATGCAGCACTTTACATAGTGCCCATTCACACCAGCGTCTGCCCTCAAGTTGCTTACAATCTAAGGTCCATATCTCACATGCATACAGGGCCGATTTAGACTCTAGTTTGTCTTTGGAGTGTGGGAGGGAAGCAAAGTACCCGGAGGAAACCCACGCACGCACATTGAAAAACATGCTAACTCCTTGCAGATATTGTCCAGACCGAGATACCAACTGGGAACCCTCAGAGCTTCAAGCCAGAAGTGCTAACCAATAAGCCACTAGGCTGCCGGTTGAAAGAACTCCATAGCAATGAGCAAAGTTTGGCCATTTGCAATTGAGCAAACACTTCAAAAGGCTGGTGCCATTTTGGGACAAACTAAGTAATGGATACAGTGTATTTATTTTTACGCATCTACTTTTGGGCCAGAATAACAGATCCAATCCAACAGCAAAAAAACTAAATAAAAAAAGGTCAGTGCTAAGTAAAACTTTTAGCTCTATATGAAATAAAAGTAAGTATATTTGTTATGTAGAAATTGATGTATTTGTGGAATATAGATATATGTAACATGTGCACAATAATATGGATATATTTAACATTTTTGATGCATTCCTTTAAAGGCCCTTTAATTGGATAGTTCAGAGTAGCCTTCCATCCTGGTAGACTTTTCCTACATAGTTCCAGTCAGCCTTAAACCCTCCAGCACCCGTGGTGCCTGCAGTGCTTTTGTAATGATTTACAGGCCTCCCTTACTCAGAGGTGGTTAAAGCCCAATATGTCTACAACACATCAGAGGAAGTGCTGGGGAAAAGGTCAGAACCGGGATTGTGTAGCCCCCCCTTCTTCCCTTCTCATTGTTGATCTCCAAGGTCTGTACTCCACAGCAGACAATTCCACACAGCCCCCACACAGCAACATCTGGCAATCCCCTGCACAGACCTTCTTTTCCTTGTAAGCCAGAGGAAGAGAGTGAATTACAGAAAATGAAGGATTTTTCGGATATCCTATGCAGAGATGTCTGATTACGAACACAGATGTGTTATGAGATTTTATGAACATGTCTGTAGAGGTTCATGTTCAGGACTCAGCAAGGGGAAGCTTATCCCTTTACATGAGTGGGCAATTATACAGTATGCGGAACTTCTATTCCATCCGGCGTGAACTTTTTATAGGATAATTCTACCAATATACATAATTTGGTATTAATATTGGTGTATAATAATTAAGCTAGTATTGAGGGGAAGGTAGATCTAATAGAGGGGTTGCAGTACAAATGAATAGACAGTTTAAAGGGCCACTAAACATGTATTACACACTGCAAAGATGTGACTTTTAGTTCCCAAACAGAGATGTCCCTCCAGAAAAGAAACATTATCCAATCTATGGGACATCAAAGAATGAATCACATAAACTGACCTTGTGTATGTCCATAACTGTACAAAACTGCAAGTATAATGGGGAGCTTTTCCCGCCAATTTAATGTCTCCCAGAACAGTTATGTTTAAGGCATGACAATTGTCAAGGTTTATAGTGTGCTTATTTCAGCTCAACCAAACTTGTAAGCCCTCAAATGGCTGGTATTATAGCTGATCACATGGGCAGCACCATGGCAAATGCAATCCAAATAGAGGCCAACAGAAACCAAAACAATATTTATAGGGTTCGTAGAATTGCTGCCAGCTCACCCCTGTGTATCCAAAATTGTAACAAGTGGCAACATCACAGATAACCATTGATTATTCAAAACCTATAATATTTTATTAAGACATATAAAATCTCCATAAAAAACAATCGCATTGTAATTCCAAATATTTAGGACCATCACAATGCTGAACTTCACAATTATTGACTCTCAGAATAATTACATTTGAGAATACAGTTCAAATCCTCATAATTGTATACAATTCCACAAAAGTATATATTCTCATCAGATGTTCATATGGCGATCCAACCTTCTAAGACCTTCAAACTTCTTCTGAAAGTCAATAATTGTGAAGATGGCGCCTTCCTTGGCTGTAAGGGATTAGGAGGGTGTATTTCCACTTTAATAACGCAGTTATTGGACACCTAAAAATAGTGTGTGAATGGATGATAAATAGTGTAGCTTATTAAAATGCACAATTTACAAAACAAAACCTAGGTTGCAGTATGGAGTACTGTACAAGATTTCTATCTGTTCCTCTCCTACATAACACAGGTCAGCGCAGGTACAGATAAGACCCGTTTAATGCTTGAGCAGGAAAATTACCGGCATGTGACATGCCTATGTGCCACAATGCTGCCGGTCTGATATAGTAGTGTATACCCCAAAAACAAAAAAATTGGTGACTCCTAAGGCCCCATTCACACTAAGCGACACTTACCTTGAGCAGATCCGGGTGGCCGGCATAGCGCGACTGTTCGGGGCGACGATCGCGTGACCTTCACTGTCGGGCTGCATGCAAAAATAGAAAAATCGCGCGACATCCGTGGGAAAAAGGGTCCCACACAAGCAACCCGCGACGAGCGACATGGAGCTGTTCAATAGAACAGCTCCATTGAAAATCATTGGACGGCGACTTCTCGCGATATCGCGGCGGAAATCGTGAGATTAAACGCCCAGTGTGAATGGGCACTAAAGCACAGAGCCAAAGTACTGCGTTCACCATGAAAGCAGCCATGTACTAAAACACATGATGCAATCTGACCTTTAACCCTGACAACAGTAGCAAGAACAGTTAGTCATAGAAAGCACAGCTCTGCCTGTCTGCACTGACAGCAAAGTAGACGGTGTGAAAAGATTTACTGAGGGTTACAAGGAAAAGCACACTAGCAATACACTGACATGGACCACTTGATTCCAGGAATGCAGCAGTTGTAGAGAGTTTTATGCAAATTTGTGCTAAGCTTACACAGACTACCCAAGAAAACCATGATCATCGCCTCGTCAGCCAGCCTTCTTTGTTTATTTTATCTCTTGGCTTTTACGGCCGTAGTTGCTCCTGTTTCCTTATAAATGTTTATAGCTTGCTAGTCCCAAACAGAGAGCTGTCTGATGTTCACAATGGGTTTTCAATGGGTAGCTAGTTTTTCCAGACACATTCAGTGTTTTCTGTAGTATATATACAGCAGGGCTGGACAAATCCCAGGAGCAAGGTAGCCAATGCTCCTTAAAAATTACAACTGGCGTCTAACTTTTGAGCTTTTCTCTAGTGGTCAGGTTTTGAGTTGGCTCCTAAAAAGAATCCTACTGGCTCCTGGATTGGGCAGACTTGCTCCTGAATTCCATATTAATTTGTCCACCCCTAATATACAGTATTATTTATCATTTACCTGTCTGGTCCCTAAGTGAGCTGTCCCATTGAATATTTTAAAGGGTCCAGCCAAAACAAAACCTGAGATATTTCACATTGTGATAACATTTCACGTGTAGCTGAGTGTAAAGTTGTTGGCTTAGATTGTAAGTCATCACAGGCAAACAAGAGAGGCTGTCTGCAGTGCCTCACCATGGGAGTGCAGGAAGCCATCACCACTCCTTGTGTTTTGGGATCCCTGGGGCTGATGATTAGGATACCTGATATGGAATGTGATAGTTTTCTCCATTGCTCCACTGTTAAGATCCATATTTGTGAAGTTCCTCCATCACTCTCCTCCACTTACTGTTCTGTGAGCTCTGCTGACATCAGAGGGATATCTACACAGAATACAAGATATCTGCACAGAAGAACATAGCAAATGGTGATAAAGGATGGAGATCAACAGAGCATCTTCATGGTTGGAGAGCTTCACAGTTTAATATCACACTTGAGCTGTCACTCTCCAGCCGCAAATACCGCTTCCTTCTGGTTGTGGTGTCACAGGGAGAAAAGTAAGGGGACATTTCTGCAATGGAGACACAAGCAGCAATAAAATCCTGATTAAAATCTAAAGATTTCCAATTCTATTTAAAGATAAAACACGTTTTGGCTATAGCTTGGACTAGGATCACTAGGTCATTAGTGCAGACATGTTGTAGGCGTCTGTCAAGTGCCTGTAATTTGATCTAATACTAAGGCAATGCAAACCTATACAATCTGTATTGATACTTCACAATTTATTGATACAATGTGTTATCTTAGATGGGACATTTACATAGTTCAGCATAACAACATAAAACCTTTACTGCCAGTCTCAATCGGCCGGAATACACAGAGGTGCCTTTTGTCTCACTAATGCTGCGAAGTGACAGCTTGTCATGGTACATCAAACCAATGCCACCTACTGGCCATTTAAAGGCATGAGTAGGTAAGAAAAATGAAATTCTGCCTAGAGGCAACATTCATCATCATTGTAATAATAAAATAATTAACCCTTTCGTCGTCTTGACCCAGTTGTCAAAATACATTTAAACTGAGCAGATCTTGTATCAAAAGAAGCCAATTTCCTGTTCTACTTTCAAATAGTAATAAGCAGAATTGTTACCTCTTGTATAATTCGGTGCCAGAGCAGAAGCACTTGAGGAAGTAAAATACTGTTTTGTAGCAACAAAGCAAACACTATCCCCCAGATGACCTCGGTCAGCACTTTTTTTTTCTTTGTTTAGTTGTAAGGAATTTAAAGATGGTGCAACATATGTTCTTTTGTGCATAAGACCATTCTTTATGATACCAATCTAGGTCACTCTATATTGTCATACTAAGGGCTAGAGTCACAGGTGCTGTAGGTGAACAGAGTTTATCCAATGCAGCTTGCAGGTAACACCTATCTGTCTAGATTGGATTATTAACCATAAGAGGACAGCGCCGTGCTATGCGTGTGGTCAATGAAACATGGTATCAAACAGGAGCAGGTTGGACATATTAAAAGAAATATATTTTATGAAGTAAGGCAGCTCTAAGAATAATTATTTAGGTACTGTAACCCTTACCATTCATTTCCCATCTCTTTAAAGAGATTATACTTCAGTGCATGTATGGAGTGAAAGCTGATCTTAACTGAGTAGTTGCGTGTTAATAGCAAGAACTCCTCTTTTGGTTCTCTGACTACTAAATATACTCAATATATCAACAGCACTCGCTAACTGTCTATAAACAAAGTTGTCTGGAATGCAAACCTTTTCTTGAATTTGACTCAGTATCAGTCTCATGCAGCCCACGGTACAACAGATCTCAGACTGGGAAAGGGAGGAATCAGTCAGTTTTACTGCAGTGCAACAAGTATGTTGATAGGAGGAGAAAGCAGAGTCACAAAGAGAGGAGCTCATTAGCCTGTTACCTCTTTCTTCACTGTGCAGCCACAGGATGTGCCAAGTATCCATTTGTCTGAAAAGTCCTATGCTAACAATTTAGTTAGTGTAGGACTTATCAGACAAGAATGTTTTTACCTGAAATGATATTAGGATTAAACAATGTGCTAAGTTTAGATGAAAATGGTTTTTTATAAACACCTAACAACTATTGGTCACTACAGGAATGGCTGGCATACTGTACATTTTTATAATCTAATATCTGGAGGTCCAGGGAGGGCTCTGGAAGCACATCTTTCTTTGGGGGAAGTAGAGAGCCCACAGCCTGCCATGGCCATTGCACCATTTGTGCTGTGCTCCATTCTTACCACCATATTGGTGAACTAGCTGTAGAAATAATTAATTGTTAAGTGTAATGTATGTGGTGCGCTGTTAGAGAAGAATGCTTTGTTTACATGTGCTGTAATTTTATTAGGGCACATCACACTTTATGGTAGAGTGACTATTGCTTAGACTAAAGCATGCATTGCATACTAACTACATCATTCTTTTTTATGCAGTAGGATGAGATAGTTCTCGTCACTCATACAAATAGTAAAAAACGGCACTGAATAAAATGTGTGTTAGCTATGTCATTATAAACAGAGCACAGTATTCTTATTTTTCTACTGGTACATATGCAATGGTTGTCTGAAAATATAAGAAGAGAAAAAAAGACTATCCATCTGGGTTAAGATGTTTATTCATGTTTATACAGTCATCTGTTCTACACCAAAGACTAAGCCCAATCGGTCAGCTTACCATCAAGTCTGTCTTGGCATGGACTTACATTATTCCCCTTTTATACAGACTATTGACAGAGAAGGCTGCGAGTTCCTTTTCATTTCAGGATGTAACAACTCAGAAGATGGCACTGTTGATATTTTCTGTTTGCTTCTGTATCTCCTTATCGGCTCTATCTGCTGCAGAAATGTTCATGTACTGCAAAGTTGTAATGATGTTTTATCTTCTTTATTTTTAGATAAGAAAACAAAAGTGGTATTGATGTCATAATGCTGATGTTTGATCCAGTGCCAATCAAGCAGGAGGCCATGGAGCCCATGTCAATGGTATGTATAATCTTGTATAATGGATAATGTGTATAGTGGAAGTGCAACACATATAAAACTAATGCTTTGAAGACAATCAGTTGTAGTTTTGGCTTTGAAAGAATCTGCATAATCTGTTAAAATATTATATAGTGCAGGTTTACCTATGAGAGATGAGACTTTCCTTCCTTAATTATGAAATATGAGACTTTTCCTCCATAAATTGCTTTGCTTACATTGTCCATGGCTGATTTTTGTCCATGAGCATGTAGCGAGGAGACACCCATGTTTACCATTACTACCTTCATGCAGATAACAGATCATGTCGCCCCTTACCTGAGTGTGCATTACAGTATCAGATAGCCGTGTCCTTAGTTATTTACATCCCTCTTAATCATGGGGTTCTGTTATTTCATTATGTTATACACACTCCGGTGTTTATTATCATGCATAAAACAAACGAATGTCTATGGAAAACTTTACAGTGTATGTTTGTAAATTCATAAATAACTCTGCAGCAGATTAAAGCTGACACAAGTATAATTACTTTCAAAAACAAAATTGATGTTCGGAATGTTTGTTCGAATATGTAAATACCAAATCTCATTTACACTGAATTCCTAAGTGAGTTTGGGCAGAAAGGTGATAAACTATTTAGTCTATTTGCTCTTCTCCCAGTACAAGATCTCCCTGCTTTTTAATTAGATCAGAGTTCTTCCTAAACATTAAAATGTTTTCTTTGGTTTTAGATAGTAAGAAGGGGTTACAACCTCTTTGATGTTTTTATTCCTCTGGGTCCCCATTCGTGATATTTTCCCTCACTTCCTTTCACATGAAAAATATACAATCTCCTTTAGATTAACCAATGACTATGTAGTGCATGGGCCTTCCTAATTGGATACAGATTGGATAGTTTAGGTAGGTACACAGGTTTGGGTAAATCTAGGTTTAGGTTTGTCCTCCTATTATATAGCTTTAAGACCATTGTACAGAGACTGTAAAACTAAGTTTAAAAAAAAAAATGAAAAAAGAAAACTAAACTTTATTATAGAGACAGATTACTTGAAAAATGATTGCCGTTCGTGACTTTTCTAATCACTAACAACAATTAAACCCTCCTAAACCAATAAAATGTTTGGGCTGAAGTCCTACTTTAAAATCTCAGGCCACGCGTCATTTCATTGGTAAAACATCTGCTTCTGTTCTCTTTTACTCCCAGCACAGCAATTCATAGTAGAGTATACAAAATGTTTTTGTCCCCAATGCCTTTGTGCGCTCTTCTATAACAGTGTTCTGCAGAATTACTCTGATCTATGTACTAGACCAAGTCCAGCGACTGGTATTACATAGCGGGGCTCCAGAAATTGGATTTATGTATAGCTATAGAGCAAAGTAGAAGCCCGTCTGCTGCTAATGTTCTGACTCTTTCCTGCATCTCCTGCCAATGCTGGCAGCAGCCTCAGAGCTTGCACTAATGTCCTACAAGTTCACTGCTAATGAAGAACTAGTCAGGAGTCTGAGCCAGCCTCAAGTCTCCAAAGTCCCAGCAGTCCGATCACCTTGTCTGCTTTCCTCACTGCCTTTTTCAGAAGACTTGTGTCTCATGCAGCGGATGTAATTGTCCCACAGGCAGGATGTCGATACTTAGCAGTAATTGTTTTAGCAGGACGTGAATGAAATAGGTTTTCCCTCCACTGTAGTTTTAGGTCTGTGCATGAGAGCTTCAACGCAAAAGAGTTGCTGTAACGATCTTCGTTTTTGTTTCCGCATGCCGGCAGAATAATTAATTTTAGGGGTTTTACAAACTGCTGAGTGGATTTATACCAGAGGCCATTTTGGATATTTTAGTGGGCTGTTGGGGAAAAAATGAGAAGCTGCAAATTTGAGAGTATTTGTACTAAAGAAGAGGACAATTTACAGTAAACCTGTCATGGGAAAGGTATGGTGGCCTCTCTTGCCTGGCTGTTATGTGAAGCTTTTACAAAGCCCAACTGTGAGATAATTTTATTTTAAATGCCCTCTAGCATCAGTGAAAATAACAAAGCGGCTTTTGCTGCAGTACTCTCCTTGAACCAGAAATGTTCCCTGCAGTAGTCCTTTTTTGACGATAGATGTCTTCAGTCTCCCAGGAGGAATGATGCTCAGAATACCTTTTCCTGAAAGAAATGTGAATCTGGCCCATGGCATTGGTCATGTGGTCTCTGCTAAGGGATGATGTAAGACAGATGGCCAAGCAGACTTAAAATATATTTAGAAATGTATTTATTACAGATTTGTATATAGCGTTGACAATTCATGCAGCACTATACATGAATACATACGAGGGCCAATTTAGACAGGAGCCAATTAACCTACCAGCATGTCTTTAGAGTGTGGGAGGAAACCACCAGGCAAGAACAGGGAGAACATGCAAACTGCAGATAGTGATCAGGCTGGGAATTGAACCAGGGACCCCTGGTGCTGCAAGGCTAACCACTACACTACTGTGCTGCCCATCTCCTGATACCATTCCTCCCAGGTCCTCTTCATTGCCAAAGACCACATGACCAATGCCTTAACATGGGTCATATATCTTACCTTTGGTGGGAGGCCAAATTTTAGCCCAACTGAAGTATTTCAGCCCCATGTTGCCATTTCCTTATATCATGCTGACTAGACTATAAAATGCTGCTTTAATTTGTGTGCATTAATAAAACGAGGAAACCTACTGGCAACCAATAGATTGCTCACAGCAATCTGCATTTACTTTGGAACCAATGCCTTGTTCCAGACAAATGATAATTCCATTATTCCTAATAAATGTAACCTATGAAGTGAAGGATAAGGAGCCAAATGCTGCCCTTGTGCTTCTGTGCAGTAAGAAATATGCTTTCAGGAAGCCATTTGGTTTCCATCCTGTCATGAGAGCTTATGACGTTAGATCATTTCTATAAATCTACTGCTGGTCCTCCTACCCTGTGTTTGTGAAAGGAATCAGGTTGCCATGGAGTTCAGTATTTGCAGCATGTGAGAGAATCCTTGAAAAAAATCTGGGGCGAATTCTGCTGACATGTTAGAAGTGAAATAAAAATATATCCATTGGAAGGAAAACATTTATATGTTCTGCTGCTAAAATCTCTGATCCAATTTGGATCCTTTACCCCAGCTGTGGTCTGGAGACCATCTTCTTCTTTTGGCTTAATCATAAAATGTTCTGGCATCTTGAGAGTGATGGAATTTTTGATCCAACAACTGTTTTAAGTCTTGTGGGTCTTCAGCTACTGTGGGTATACAAATCCTAATGGTCAGTGCAACTTGTAGTTCTCCAACAGATAAAGACCTTACAGATGGCCTTTAACTTTGGCCTTGGCAAAATCTGTTTTCATTAAATGTGACTAACCATGGGGGAATTTGGAAAGACTGTTGTGGAGACTTTATAGGTTATTTATGCAGTTACAGTTGTTCTAGAATGTGACTCTGTGTTTCCAAGTGTATTGTAATTGATATATAATGTTATAGTGTGGGAGGATGCCAGATTCTAATGTGACAGCTTCTGGTGCCTCCGTAAGGGATAATCATTTTCACTAGTAGGCACATACACTAGACGGGGCATGTTGGAAGAATGCCAATAGGTTTTGGTTTATTTATCTTTATCATCTTTGCATGATCATGTGATTATAATGGATACATGACCAACATTTTCCAATATGCCTATCAAGCTCTTGATGGTGAAGGCCAATGTCAAGGTCATTCTCCTTCTAGACGTGACTAGAATATTATGAGATTGCAGCAGAAACATTTGTTTCGTGTAACAATTTGATCTAGTCTCTGGTTGCCTGGATTTAATGGTGAATGTCTTATTTACATGATCATTCTCTCTTTTGCTTCATGTGTCATTATGGTTGCATTTGTTGCTTGGAAACACTTGTGTATTGTTACTTTGCACTGTCATGGATTGTACCTGTTGTCATGATACAGTAAAGCTGTGGAACTATTTAAACATGCATTGCAGTCCAAATTGAAAATAAAGCCTTGAAGTGCACAAAGGGAGCAGAGCCGAGCTGCTCAGCACTTCTGGTTTCCTGCGGTGCACCGGTCCACCAAAACCACTATTTGTCAGTGGTCTGGTGATTTGAGGATTCAGGGTTTCAGGAGTGGAGTTCCCAAAAACACAATTGCAGGCTCCTAGCTATCTTTCACAATCACTGCCTGAGCTAAATATAAAAGAGGCAGCACTAAGCGTGTGATAGCCACCCATCTGATTCAAACCTATCCTGAACATTTAAATGTGATTGGTGATACTGGAAGCTGAGAGAGAGGACATTACCCAGCATTAATGTAAGAAAGTGTGCTCCTAGGTACCTAGGTAATGAGATTTGTTAGACCTACCTGTTAAAAAGTCCAACTTAAAAATAAATGACATATAGAAGCCCAAGGAGGTAAATGCTTCCTTGCTGTGTGTTCTTTTCATTAAATTATTTTTTATTCACTTGAAGTCTGCTAGAATACCTGCTAGAAAACTAGACTTCTCCAGGGTATTCAATTCCCTAGCATAGCCCCCATGTCATAGCCCTCTCCTCTTCTGGGAGTGTCTCTCTGAGCTGACACAGCTTAGCCGCTCTAAAACAGCTTAGCCGCTCCTCCCCCTCTGATGACATCACATTCCAGATGGCTGCACGCAGCATCAGTCTCAGGGCTTTTGAATGTCTACACAAGGGAGGCTTTTAGGGCTTGTTCACACCCGTGGCTGTGCATTCTGTGGCAGTAAAGCAGCAACACATGTTAATTGTCACTTTAAATGTCATTCGGAATGGCACTCCCACATACCTTTCTGCCGATGGATGAATGGCACCCCGCACAGGTGAGGTATGTTCCTGCATGTTGCAGTTAAACACGTGTGTTACCACAGCACCATATGGTGAACTGACCCTGGCAGCTAAATGACATGCATAAAATACATTACATGCACATATAATCTTATGGGAAGGTTTTTGCCAAAATGAATGGTCTGGCAACAAGCTGAATCGAGTAGAATTGCTGAT